CACTTTTTTTGCAGGCAAGGTGGGATGATATTTTACAATGGAAACAGCTACACTCATGCTTAATTGCAGAAAATGCACAGCTGTATATGAAACAGCAAGTCAACATGTAAAGTGTCATTGTTAAGTAGCTGCTGACTGCTTTTCAGCTCATTTAAAAATCAAGAAACGAGGATTCAGCTGCATGCAGTGCTTGATGGGAAAATCATCCTACAAGTTATGCTGTAAGACTTTTAGCAATACAAGACATTTACATTATAATAGGATAACTTTGGTTTTCTTTACATTGATTTACATTTCATTCTTAATTAAAAGAAATATATAATTGATGGTTGTCCCAGAAAAGATATTTTTACAAGGTCCATTTTTCTTAAGAGTTTTCACTGAGAGAAAGAGATGGTTCAGTAGTGCTTTATACTGGTTTTTAATCAATAAGGAAAACATAATTAAAACTTTCCAATATCTACCTTTTAAAAAATTAAATCTATTTTCTTCAGTAGCATATAAATTGTAATAATTATTACTTTCATTTTCCAAAACATGGAGAAGTGTTTTTCTTTTTTAGTTTTAAACCTAAAGGTATTTCTCTTCTTTGGATGTATTGTCTAAATGGCAATAACACTGGATTTTTATGCAATAACATATTGACTGAATGGGTTTATTGATTATTTTTTATATTTGCTAATCATCAAAATGTGTGATGATTACTTTTTCTGTATAATTATAAAAGATAAAACTTGTATCTAACTAACTGCATATGAATTTATAAACATAAAATCTTTGATTTTCCTGGAATATCAAAACAATGAGTATAAAAGATGGATAGCATTTTTAAAATATGCAATAGATAATACAGATATTAATGCTTGAAATGTAAAATAATGACTATCCAGCCCATTGCTTTGAGTTTGATATATGCAAATTATACAATGAGCAACATAAAGGAAAAAATGTCCTATCTTATCTTTTCTGGAACAACTTGTAAGTTACAATTCAACTCTACTATTGGTACAAAGGTTTGAAGAAAAGCTGACATATTTAAATATGTTAACACTTTACTTCAACTAATATCAACAGTAACACTGAAATACTTTGCAAATATACGTTATGGAGAGTGTAGCTTCAATACTACTAACATTAGATGACATGCATACAGTTGTATTATTCCTTATAAGAAGGAAACCCAAATTTAAATATGAAGAGATCCTTGGTTTGTGATGTTCTTAGGTAATCTGCACAATCTAGGACAGCTTGGATGATAATATTATTTTTATTAAAATTTCCTATGAAGTTAAATTAGATTGAGGGAAAACCAAGGACAGGAAAAGGTGTTGTATATTGCATAAGAAATAATTTTCAAATTTAAACATCAACTCTCTTAAATGGTTGTTTCTGGTGAATGAAAGTTAACAAAACTACTGAGCTTTTTTTTGCTGGTACTCCATATAATTCATAATTAG